ATAATTAATTTACCTTATGAAACTTATAGAAAAATATGTACATAAACTCTGAGTAAAAGTCTACTTTTTTCTGAAATAAATTATTTCAAAAGTTAATTCATTATCTAATTTTTTTTAACGTAATAATTCTGACTTATGTCACACGTTCATCTATGAAGACGCCACACAAATGTAAATACAATTCGTTTTCTCGTATGAAATTCATATTATATTTTATCCCATTCATCAAATTTTTGATAAATATATTTTCATAGCGTAATTGCAACATTGCAAAGATAAAAACACATTGAATCATTTCTTACGTAAGAAATATCAACATGAAATTATAAATCATTACAAAGCTCAAAACTTGAAATGATATTAATGATGGTTGCCTTATTCATTTATCATCTTAAATTCTATAAATAATGGATAATCAAAACTAATACGAGGTTTTAGACATAGTTTTAATATTGGGAAATGTGTTAAAATTCCTCACTAAATGTTTCTTCAATTACTTGTCATTAATCATGCTCGTAAATATTACTTTTGATTTATTGAATATTATTTTTTAACTTAAAAGTAAATACCTGATTCATTCCTTACAGATTACACATTGGTGATAAAAATAATGAAATAAGAATTCCACAAGTCGACTTACGCAAATCATTATTTATGAATTCTATTCGTTCTTTTGTCAGGAAAAAATTGTTTTTGGAAATCTTTGCTTTTGTAAAGAGTTAAAACTCTGAATATAAATATTTCTCAAACATTTTTTAAACATTATCATTTCATATTAAATTAAGAGCATTCGACAATTGAGTAAACGAAAATTTAATGTTATAGCTTCAATACTGAAATCAAAGTTGTGTTAAACTATAACTCAACGTTACCATCTCTTCCTTTATTATAAAATTTTGATTACGTAACTGCAGCGCAATGGTTAGTCTCATCTATTCCTGATAATATTAAAATTTTGGTTATACATCAATTGTTACGTAAAATATGTATGATTCCTTTATTCAATAATGAATGTATTACCAATGAATCTTCATAATAATTATTTTAATTTAATGAACTTTTGACAGTTAATTTCAAGTACTGTTGAAATCAGTCATTAACGCTATCACGCAATAACACTCCAACTTATGTATGAGACTATCTGGACTACCTGTTATTCCCTCGAGTTAATTTTAAAAATACATTCATGATGAATAAACTAATGGACATCAGTGTATTTTTAAATTTAAAGACGAAGTTGTCTTGTGTGTGCAATAATATGCACCAGAACTATGAGCAGCTGAAAAGTAATCTTTATTAATGGAGGTTAATAAACAGAAAAAAAAACAAAATTGAATCATTGGATATTTAATTAAAATACAAACATATAATAATCAATTTATAGATATTTTTCTCAGTTTCTTTTAAGAAGTTAAGAAATCCTTAATATATTTGTATGTTTGATCAAGGATGTAGAATTGTATAAAGAAACAATAAATCAACAATAAAACATTACCTTTTCTGAATTGATCTGGTATTACTCAAAAACTAAAGTAGCTCTACTATTTTAAACCGATTTCAAAAAAACAAATTGCTTTAAAAATACTCATGGAAATACACATCTTTTGAATGGAAAGTGTTTGAAGAAAATGTTACAGCTGCTAGAATACACGAAAAAATGGTGAAAAGAGAAGGTTGGATGTATATCATAAAAAATAAATTTGAAAAAAAAAGTTATTTTGATCCTCACTGACGATTTCCCCGCATGAGCAAAACATTCTTAAAAAGAATTGCAGTGATACGATCAATAGTGGTGATTCGTGTAAAAGACCCACAAACACACACAGACTTTTAAATTTATATTAATTATATTTTAGATAAGAGTTTCCTAAAGTGGGAGCGATTGCGATTATTAAATGGCAATGGATTTCATCTGAAAAGAAAGAAAAACCAGCTGTAAAACTTATCTCAAATGGAGAATGTTATTGCTTATTAATAAAGTCTCCCTGAGAAATATCACGAGGGCCAATGGCGATGGACCTCGTAGTTTTAAACCTCGTTCAAGTGACGAAGACAACACCTCAGTTGGCACCTCCTACATCAAACATTTATTCCATACTCTCGGGAGGACTTGGGATCTTGATCAGATTTAACGTCATCAGCTTTGCTGCATGGTGGGTCTGTAGTGGCATCAAGGCTCGAGTCCACGACTTGACGAAAACAACGCCTTCCTCTAATCCACAAACTTAACCACTAGGCTATCGCAGTCACACTCAGATCGTGAAATAGCGAGCGTTCGATATGGATTACTTTAGTTTAGTTTTTATTAATTTCGCACTAGAAGCAACACGAGGGCTAATGGTGATGGACCTCGTAGTTTTATACTTCGTTCAAGTGACGAGGACAACACCTCAGTTGGCCCCTCCTACACCAAACATTCATTCCATACTCTCGGGAGGACTTGGGATCTTGATCAGATTTGACGTCATCAGCTTTGCTGCATGGTGGGTCTGTAGAGGTATCAAGGCTCGAGTCCACGACTTGACAAAAACAACGCCTCCCTCTAATCCACAAACTTAACCACTAGGCTATCGCAGTCACACTCAGATAGTGAAACAGCGAGCGTTCGATATGGATTACTTTAGTTTAGTTTTTATTAATTTTGCACTAGAAGCAACACGAGGGCTATCGGTGATGGACCTAGTTATTTTGAACCTCGGTCAAGTGACGAGGTCGAAACTTGAGCTGGTACTTCTCTCTCCTAACTTCCACATCATGCCAACGGGATGACTTTGGGCCCCGACAGATTTAAGGTGCATCAGTTCCGGCTACACGGCGGGTCTTTGGCGGCCAAAGCTCAAAACCGCGACTGATCGAAAACCGCCGGCCACGATTCTAAAACCATGATCACCAGAATACCTCGGCTACGCGTTCGATATGGAAGAATTTAACTTCGATTGAAGCGTTTTGTAGTAAAATGCTAGAATAAAATTTGACTTAACATTTCTAGGAAGATTGTTTCGCTACTCTGGACGTTGATGTCACGCAAAATTAATTGGAGTCAACCACTGACATCAAACGTGATTATTCGAAAGGTCGCAATTATATCCATTGTCCAAATTATATCTGTGCTTGTATGTGAAATTCAAGTTTCCGAGGAATTATTTTAAATATGGAATGCCATTACAGCTAAGGACTTAACAAAAATAATTCAGACACATTATCCTTTTCTCTCTGGGTAGTTATCTGAAATTGCATCCAGTGAATTTTATACCGAAATATATTCAAGTGTAAGCGGTTATTGTTATTAGTTCGGTTTGTTGTACGATTTTAAATGCATTAGCAGGTTGAACTAGTCAAGGTTTATTGAGTTTTGCTATACATCAAATCTCATGATATTGTGAAATTTTCATTAGTGTCCTAGAAATGTATACATACTTCCACTATTTGTAACTTACCGGATATTTCATATATTCTACGTGTGTATTTATGTCCTATGAATTTCTATAAATGTCGTGAGAAGATATATTTCATTTAAAAATGCATTTCTTTTTTCATTGAAAATATGCGAAGTGATTCATATCTTAGGGATTTTTAAACTTAAAATAATAATAAATGCTTTTTCTTATCAAGAAAACAGTAGGAAGATGTAAGATGCTTAGCTGAAGAGTTAGAGGAAAATATAAATAAAGAAATAAATATAATTCAGCTAAGAAAAAGGGAAAACTAGGACAAAAAGAATTCGTTCAAGAATACCTCAACGTAATAATTCAAGATAGAGAAAAACAAGAAAAACAGGAACATGAAAGGGAAACGAAGCTTTTGGATTTACTGAATGCAATTCTAGTCTTTTAACACAGAAGAAAAAACGTGGAAAGAAAATTGTCGGTTTGATAAACTTAGAAGAAATAGATGAAAATAAACTCGAGTAAAAGACTTTTAAACATCTTTTAATGAATAAAAACAGGAAAATAATGTTCTATTACAATTGCTACCAAAAATATATAAAAGCGCATTTGAAAAGTAAAGAACAATCGCCTCTGATCAAAAAAAAGTACGAGAAATCGATATTGACATCATTGATTATTCATTAATTTAAGGAAACATTTTGATCAAAAAAGAATAAGATAATGATGGAGAAGAAAGGCAACTATTGAGTGTGAAAAATTTAGATTATCCATTCTTAAAATGAATGTCGAAGGTGCTTTGAAATATTTCAATAACACCAGTGCAAAATTTACGGGGTTATTTTATTGGCTTCAATGTTATATAAATTTATAAAGTTTTTTTTAAAAAATTTGTGATTCCTGTCAAAGAACGATTAAAGCATACAACCGAAAAATACTGTCAGACAACTATTCCTAGTTTTCACAGAAAAACTTTCGAAGTTCTAATGTTTTTGAAATAAGACAATTTCTTATTCATCCATAAGGAATAAATAAACTGTTACTTTTTTCATGAGTAAATTATTAGTTTACATTGCAATAAGAGTTTTTTAGATTAGTTTGGTTTTTATTAACATAGCACTAGAAGTAATACGCGGGCTATTGGCGACGACCTCGTAATTTTGAACCACGGTCAAGTGACGAGGACGATACCTTAGCTGACAATCCCCTTCTCCTAACATCCACACCACACCGTGGGAGGACTTTGGGCCCCGACAGATTTAACGTGCATCAATCCCGGCAATACGGCGGGTCTTTGGCGGCCAAGGATTGAACCCGTGACTGAACTAAACCTACTACCACTAGGCTACCGCGGTCACATGCATTTAGAATAATGATTACAGAAGTGAGTTTTACTCAATTTCGTAGAAATGAATTTCCTTAATAGAATAGTATAGACCTAGAAATCGCCTTTTTACTGTTATGTTTTTCAAGGAATTCCTGCGAGACTGCTTTTAATGTTGGAGTTGCCGAATAAATTCGTAGTTATTATCATTAATAGCTTTTCACACTAAGTATCATATACATACTTATTTTCTCTGGTTTATCCTCAACTTAGCATATTTGATATTTGTGGCAGCGTTAGCCTAGTGGTCATGATTGCGGACTCGAGGCTGACGGTTTTCGTGGAATCGTAGGTTCGAGCCTTCATGCTACTGAAGACTCGACGAAATGGGGCTGATGTATCTTAAAACTGTTGAGGCTGAAAATCCTCCCTTTGGCGAGACGGGGAAGTTAGAGAGGGAGGTGCCAGATCAGGTTTCGTCCTCGTCACTTGGCCGAGGTTAAACTTACGAGATCCATCGCCAATTTCCCTCGTGTTGCTTTTAGCGCCACGTTAATATCTTTAAAACCAATCAATATATCACATATTAGACTTATGAAACGCATGGTAAAGAGCTGATTGGTGTTAATAAAGTCGCAGATTTGCACCTATTTGAGAGCTATTTTGCAAAAAAAATCTTTTTTTTTTTAAAATCTGAATTGTATTATTGGCCGTATAGTTGTTATGTAAAATAAGACTTTTAATCTAAGGAGAACTTTAAAATAAAATAGATTCCATTTTTATAATACATTCATATTTGCGTTTGTTATTCCACTACATATCAAAAGGCAAATCAATAGAAATTTAATTTCACGATCGGTTGAAAAAAGTTGGATCTAACAAAGAGTCATGAATGTTTTTTCCACATATTAATTAACTGTTGAGCAGTTAATTAATATGTTGGTTATTATTATTAAGTTTTATGTATATGACTTTAAGTTCACAGTGTCAATTATCTTGATTATATTCACATTTTTGTCGCTAATGATTGTATTTACTTCTTATAGAAAGCTTACCTTTCTACGGATGACAAAGGAGGGAGTACACATTTTAATCATCAGTTGTTAGCCTTGTAAATAAGCATTCTTTTTTTTTAAAAAAAATTATGATCATCATTAGATATTGCCTAGTAACATTCGAATAATATTATAGGAACATGGTGTTGCTAAAACCTTCCTTTCCCATAACATCCAATCAGAAGGTGTAGGCTATACAAATAAATAACTACGAAAGACTAAAAACAAGAAGAACTAACAATTTATTTAAAACTTAACGAGAACAACTTTTAACATTTCAACTATGAAACTCGACCTTCACAGGTCTGCAATCTGCGAAGCAAGTGTGTCTACAAAAGATCGCTTCCTCCTTTTCTTTAAAACGGCTTGCAGTTCCGCAGACAAAAATGACGTCCCAAGATGACGTAGGCAGCCGCCACAATATTACTATAGTATTACATTTATTGGGGAGTTATGTTGCTGGCTTAAGTGCTTAGTAACGTATAAAATGTTTCATCGTATAAGAATATAGTGAAATTTAAATAAGGAATGAAAACTAATTGAGCTCTATTTTGCTTATACGTAGAATGTAGGTGTACTTGTGATTTTGGATGATAACACAAAAAGAAAACTATAACAAACATATTAGGATGTCTCTTTCAAAAATACATTTGTATTACAGTAATTTTAGTAAAAATATATACATAATTATAATTACTATGTATATATTTACGTATGAATATATGTATAAGTATGAACGTATGTATATATCATGAGTTTTGCAGTAAAAATAATATTGTTAAGAAATGGGTTTTTTTAGATTTTTAGCATACGTAATGTAATTTTTATATTGATTCAATATATATCATAAATATTATCTAAAAATATTGTTAAAACAATGTAAATGTTGTTTATTGGAATATGAAATAAAATGTAACTATTATTTAATTTTATTTTAGTATCTTAAATGTAATGTAGCGCATAACGTTTTCATAAAAAAATCATACAGTTTTACTACATTTCGAAGAAATTTTTAAGTTGTTTTAAATACATTCAAGATGTAACAAAAATTAAGCAACATAATCCAAAAAAGGTTTAAGGAAAGATAGTGGATACTTTCTTCTTAAAATGTATTTTTAATGTTTTGACACAATGAATATAATACTAGGTTGTTCCAAGATATGGAACTTCGCCTTCATCAGAAAATTTATCTTCGAAGAAAGGGGCGGGGGCTGTAGCGAATATAATGTCAAATAGCAAACGATTAATTTTGGATTATACCATGGAACATAACTTCTTCAGAATAAGTTATCTTCGGAGGACGAGGATTGGGTTGCAGCGAATATAAAATATCTAACAGCAAACGATTTCTTACGTATGGAGAAAGAAATCAGCAGCAACTTTTGTATCAGATGAAGAAACAGTGGAAGCGCAAAATTAAAATATTTGAGTCGCGTGAAAAATTTGTAGGTCAGTGGTGACGTAAAATTTTAACTGAAAAATCATTATTCTGACTTTTTTTCTGGTAATTATATAATGTTATCATTACAAATAAGGTAAAGGTAATTAACATAAAATTAATAACTAAAGATTACCTACATTATATGAATTTAAAAATGATGAGAAATGCGATAAACTTTGAAAATGTGGTGCTCTAAGAAAACATAGAGTGTATAGATTTCAAATATAATTATCCTAATACATCAATTACTAAAATGAATAATCAGTTATGATTTTTTTCCATAATTTATTTTATGCGAAATAAACATGTATTTCTCAATTTTAATATTTTTTTGTTTGCCCAAAAATATTTTTTAATATTTTTTTTGTTTTTTAATATTTTTTGTTTATTATATCCCTCTCGTAACCATATTTCAATTAATTTGCTTACGATTTACTGTCTTATTTTATTGCACTTGTACGCTTACGAAACTACTGGATAGTGTATAGAGAAGTACATAAAATTATAATGATGATGATAAGTAATCAAATAATTCTTTTTATTTCGTTTTGACGATTTTCCAAACATAGCCTCTCATAAGAAAGGTGCATTTAATTGAAATATTTATAAATTCAAAAACAAATTAATTTAAATGAATTTAATTTAACTATGCGGTTTTATTATTCAATATACTCTTTAACTACGACATCAAATGTCGTAGTAAAAAGTTGAAAGCTAGCAGTATCGTAGTTGAAAACTAGAAATTATTGTATGTAATCATTTCAAAATTAAAAAAAAAAAATCCTCGTTTACTTATCCAAAAAATACATGCTTAATAATTAGTGAAACACATGACTTATTTTTTCTCTCGACTTTCGAGTAATAGCTTGAGTAACAGGCCTTACGTGTTTAAGGACTAAATTTTCAAAGGTTTTAGATCTGCGAAACATGTTATAGAAATAAAATTTATCCATCGACCCATGAAAGTTTTTTTTATTTTTATTTTTCATTACTATTGTATTACTTTTGGTTTTAAATTATATTCATGATTTATGTTACAAGACTTGTCTATTTTGAACAGAATTTATATAATTTCCCTAGGATGCTTTTTACCACAGTAATAAATTACATATCTTTCTATTTATAATGTCCAGAAAATTTTCCTTAAATTTTTTAAGTCTGAGATTAAAAAAGTTACATAATTATTATACATAGTTACGTATGGATTAAAAAGTTATATAATTATTATTATATAAGGTTATGTATGGACTAAGAGGTTAATATAACTTCAGTCTCTGTTGGTTCAGAATCAAGTGCATTTTCAACATTCGATTTTATGCTCCACTGCCCAAATGTAGAAAGTTTCAGAATATCATACTTCTGAGAATCGTTTTGGATCTGCGTAGTTCAATCTCATGCTATATATCCACGCTTCCCTCTAAATATCCTAAGTCTTGCACGAATATTTTCAATATTTTAAAGAAATATATACATTGTATTTGTATACAACGGCTGTAATCTAAATTTGCAATAATTATGAAAGAAAGCGTATAACTAAATTAAAATTCGCTTTTTAATTGCAAAAAGCTTCGAAATAACTTTTGTGTAGTTCTTGAATACTGGTTACTTTTTACACAAGGTTATTTTTAAACATAAGCAGGAGTTACAAATTTTATTGCAATTCGTCGTTATAAGCATTCCCAAATGAGCAACACGTCTTAATATTTAAGAAAGAAATAGGAGTAGTGTAAAGAAAATTCAAATATAAAATATTTGTTGTGAATAAGAAAGTAACAATTTTGAGAAAACACAGTAGCAGAAAACGACAAGGAAATTCAAGTTAAGTTCCACATCATTCCAAGAATGATGATTGCAAAGATTAAATAATTTTTTGAATCCTTTTGCAAATCTATATATAAATAAATTTTCAAACTAGATGAATTTCTTATCGGCATTATACTTAGAAGCATCACGGTGACTTGTGGTAATCGACCTTACAATTCAGAAGTTCAGTTATAAAATTAGGAAGACACATAAGGAGGCACCTCTCTCTGTAACTTTCCCACTACGCCAACGTGAGGGTTTCGCACTTCCACAGATACGAGTATAACATACATCATCCCCCCCTGTGCAATAGGTCTTAATGGGACTCAGTAGAAGCAACACTGTCACGAGCTCGATACCATGACCACTTAATTATCGAGGAAGCTTTTCAAACTCAAAAAACACAGTAGTATCTGATTAGTAAAAAAGTGATATAATTAATTTTCGTTTAGATACTTATTTATGATATCAGATGAAGTTCATCATTCAGTTAAAATAAAAACGTTTCCGAAAGAAAGTTTTTAGAATACAATTTACCACAATAAGTATGCAGAATCATCTGCAATAAAGAATTATCTTAAAACCCGAGGAAAAAAAGCATTTCATCCTCCATATTTTTCATAAGTGAATCATTCAACTTGAAACTGAATCTTGCCATCGTGTATTGTTAAAAGAATTAGTTTATTATGAAACGTTTATTTAATTTGATTAAAATGCAACTTACATATTTTATATTTTAAGCACCCTACATGGAGATTGATTAATTTAAATATATTAAATATCATTGTTTGCCGTGAAGATGTTTGAGAATATCTGAACATTGAGAATGATTTTCAATTGAAAACAATTCGTCAGCAATTTCATAATGAGAAGGGAGCAAACATTAATCATAATTTTCCTTTTGATTTGGAACGGTAGAAAGGAAGAATATATATAAAAAAAGAATTTTTATTCTATGTAGCAAAATTGAAAGTCACACTATGGAAGAAGAAAATTAGTAGCGAAATTTTGTATTTGAATGGCTAGTTTTGCAAAAGAGCTAACAATAATTAAAATTAAAAAAAAACTGCGCA